CCCATCAAAAAAAAAAAAAAAAAGATTAAAGACAGGTAAATTGGCAGTAGCAAATTTTTGTCTCTGAGGAAGAGAAAATGTGAAGGTATGACTTTAAGCCACAGCTGTCTGTGGTCATGTAGAATAGGGTAAACAGCCTATTGATACACAATATCCCTGAAGCAATCACTGTATTGTACCTGATTCAGTAATTAAGGCACAAAATGATTCTGACTCATAACATAAATCTTAAAATTATATTCTGTTTAAAAAAGCAAGAATATTGTATCCCACTGTGTAATTTAAGAAATATTTCCTTTTTTTGGGGGGGGAGGATTTTTGCTATAGGGTATGTGCGCTCACCAGAAAGACAGAGAGAGACAGAGATGGAAAGCGAGAAATCACCCTCCAGGGGGATAGCCACGCTGTAGTCCCTTCTCTTCCATTCTCCTCTCAGGATCTTGGGCATGCACGCACACGTGCCCAGTGTGAGGTTAAGCCACCAGGTCCAGGACTCGAACCACAGTCGACTACATGGGAGTCTAGCGACATAGCCATCATGCCAACTGCTGGTCCCTGAAGAATTATTTTAACTTTATTTATTTATCCATTTGTTCATTTATTTATTTATACATATATACATACATACATACATATGTACATACCAGAGAGGGACAGAGTCAGGGAGAGAGAAGAGAGAGGGAAAGTGAGAAAGCAAGCCACCAGGTCCAGGACTTGAACCGCTGTCGGCTATATGGGAGTCCAGTGCCCTTAACCACCACGCCACCTGCCAGCCCCTCCTTTCTCTTCTTTACTAGTAAAAAACAGTGACTCCAAATACTCAGAAAGGTTCAGTGTTTATCATTAGAGAAATAGTAGTGTTTATTCACTAAAGTATTTTCTGTATTCTTGGCTGAAAGTCATTTTTTTTTTTTGTTTTTATATTTTTCAGAAATATTTCTTCACTTGATTTTTCCCCCCCAGTTTACTTTCTGGTTCACTTTCTAAGTGTCAAGAAAAAGTAAACATATTAGTAAATAAATTATTATTTCTTTATGTTAACAATTAGAGAATTACGCTTACTTGAAATTATTGACATAAGAACAGTTTAATTAATTATAATTTTAAATAATAATAATTTTAAATCATTATTTTGGTATAGGAACTTTAATTTGTGTTAGAATTTAAAGTATGATGGGGTCAACAGATGGCTTGGTGCTGGACTCCTACATAGTCGACCAGGTTTCAAGTCCCGGACCTGGTGGCTTGCTTTCTCACTTTCTCTCTCTCTCTGGTCAGCTTAAATAATAATAATAATTACTAAAATTCAATATTTCTTCTAAAAAAAAGACTTTAAAGTGTGAAAGGACCAACAGATAACATAGTGGTTATGTCATTGGAATCGCATGTAGTTGACCATGGTTTGAGTCCAAGACCCAGTTACTTAAAACTCATGCTGGGCGTGTGTGCACATATGCCCAAAATCCTAAGAGGAGAATGGTGGAGAGGGGATTATGGTGTGGCCATCCCCCTGGAGGGGGTGATTTCTTGCTCTCTCTCTCTCTCTCCAGCAAGGGCATATACCCTAGGTCAAAAATCTCTCAAAAAAAAAAAAAAAAAAAAAAAAAAAAAAAAGAAAAATTTAAGAAATATTTCCTTTTTTTGGGGGGGGAGGATTTTTGCTATAGGGTATGTGCGCTCACCAGAAAGACAGAGAGAGACAGAGATGGAAAGCGAGAAATCACCCTCCAGGGGGATAGCCACGCTGTAGTCCCTTCTCTTCCATTCTCCTCTCAGGATCTTGGGCATGCACGCACACGTGCCCAGTGTGAGGTTAAGCCACCAGGTCCAGGACTCGAACCACAGTCGACTACATGGGAGTCTAGCGACATAGCCATCATGCCAACTGCTGGTCCCTGAAGAATTATTTTAACTTTATTTATTTATCCATTTGTTCATTTATTTATTTATACATATATACATACATACATACATATGTACATACCAGAGAGGGACAGAGTCAGGGAGAGAGAAGAGAGAGGGAAAGTGAGAAAGCAAGCCACCAGGTCCAGGACTTGAACCGCTGTCGGCTATATGGGAGTCCAGTGCCCTTAACCACCACGCCACCTGCCAGCCCCTCCTTTCTCTTCTTTACTAGTAAAAAACAGTGACTCCAAATACTCAGAAAGGTTCAGTGTTTATCATTAGAGAAATAGTAGTGTTTATTCACTAAAGTATTTTCTGTATTCTTGGCTGAAAGTCATTTTTTTTTTTGTTTTTATATTTTTCAGAAATATTTCTTCACTTGATTTTTCCCCCCCAGTTTACTTTCTGGTTCACTTTCTAAGTGTCAAGAAAAAGTAAACATATTAGTAAATAAATTATTATTTCTTTATGTTAACAATTAGAGAATTACGCTTACTTGAAATTTTTGACATAAGAACAGTTTAATTAATTATAATTTTAAATAATAATAATTTTAAATCATTATTTTGGTATAGGAACTTTAATTTGTGTTAGAATTTAAAGTATGATGGGGTCAACAGATGGCTTGGTGCTGGACTCCTACATAGTCGACCAGGTTTCAAGTCCCGGACCTGGTGGCTTGCTTTCTCACTTTCTCTCTCTCTCTGGTCAGCTTAAATAATAATAATAATTACTAAAATTCAATATTTCTTCTAAAAAAAAGACTTTAAAGTGTGAAAGGACCAACAGATAACATAGTGGTTATGTCATTGGAATCGCATGTAGTTGACCATGGTTTGAGTCCAAGACCCAGTTACTTAAAACTCATGCTGGGCGTGTGTGCACATATGCCCAAAATCCTAAGAGGAGAATGGTGGAGAGGGGATTATGGTGTGGCCATCCCCCTGGAGGGGGTGATTTCTTGCTCTCTCTCTCTCTCTCCAGCAAGGGCATATACCCTAGGTCAAAAATCTCTCAAAAAAAAAAAAAAAAAAAAAAAAAGAAGGAAAAAGGAATTTAAGTGTGATTTTTATTTCTTGAAATGTGATGTTAATTGGAAACATGGAAATTGGCAGCTAAAAAATTGTAGTAGTCTTTGCATAGCATAGCTGGATTTTGTTACTGTGTTTTCAGGACTGAACAGTCTTTTCTATTCTTAGAGCCTTGTAATAGCAGAGGGGCTCTGGGAGCTCTGATGGCGTGCCTACGAATAGCTAGGGCCCATGGACATCTTCAGTCCTCAACTGATACCTGGGAGAGTCTTGTGTCCAGTGCAAGAATCAAGCAAGGCTTAATTCATCAGCACTGCCAAGTAAGTACACAGAGTAACTGGGAGATTGTCCATACAGCTGATTCCAGGCTGGTAGTAGGCTTGTGACATACAGACCAGTTGGTGGTGTCCACTTATACCCCTTCCTTTCCTGGAAGGAAAAAAAAAAACAAAAAACACTTTAAAAAAGAAAAAGAATAAAAAAGTGAAATGTGTGTATCTTATCTTTAGGCTGTTATAATTGAAGGGATAGAAAAAAACTATCATAAAAAAAAAACTGTTCATGCTTGGGAGGCTCAAAAGAGGCTGATTAGTGTAGGTGATAGTGGATTAGAAAAGAAAGATGTGATCAGAAGAGAAGAAGCATTGGAGCAGCACACGGAAGGGAAGGACACAGGCAAGGCCTGGAGGATGACAAGGACATTGTCGGAGTAGAGTATGTTTTCCATTTTATGGAAAGTCACACAGTGATTTTATTCAGTTAGTGAATAGGAACCAAGCTGCTCTGTCTTTAGCAAGGAACTGGCTTTAATGGAAACAGGTGAGTTTCCAACAGGAAAGCAAAAAGAAACCAGAACAGTTAGAAGTGCATGGACCAACAGGTGGTATGGTGGTTGGGGTGTTGGATCCCACCTGGGTGACTGAGGTTCGAGTCCTGGATCTGGTGGCTCGCTTTCTTTCTCATTCTTTCTCTCCTTGGTGAGTGCGTGTGCCCTGGCAGATTAAAAAAATTAATAAATAAAAATAATTCTTAATTAAACAAAAAGAAGTGCATGGCGGTAATCTAAGAGTGAGGTACTCATTGAGAAAAAAAGGAAAGAATGGAGCTGAGAATTCCCATGGGATAAGAATTTTTAAGAATGTGGATTTTGGCCCATCCTCCATGGCTAAGTTGGTAGCATACTGAACTGCAGTAGTAGAAATCATGTGGCCAACTGTGGGTTTAGATCCCATGCTAGGTTGACCTGAAACATGCTGGGTATGTGCATGCCCATGACCCTGATGAGCTGGATGGCTAGGGAGAGGGGATCACATTGTCATGAGCCCTTGTTAAGCGTGCTTTGCTCTCTCACAAACATACTTGCACACACTTTCTATCATGAGTAAGAAGATAAAATGGGCTGGCCTATGACCTAGTCATTAAGGGAGCTGGATCCCATGTGGCTGTTTACATGGTTCAAATCTCTGCCTCTGGTGGCTTGAGAACATGCTGGTCATGTGTGCATGCATACCCCAAATCCCAGTGGGATGGAAAAATGGAGAGAAGGGGTTACTGTGTGATCGTGACCCACTGCGGGGAGTAGAGGTGCTTTCTCTCTCTCTCTCTCTTTTCTCATGTGAGCTCATGTGCTGTCTAGCAAGCAAAACAGAGAAAAAGTTACTTTGATTATAAATCCTCAATGTACATATTTAATAAAATTATTTTATTGTAAATAATCACATAACCTTTGGGATTAGGTCACCTGTCTGGGATACCTATGAATGAGCTACAGTTTACTTTTCTTGGTAGCCTATTTAAATAATTACTATTTCAAGTGGTTTAGGCTGTTCATTTAATTGGAAAAATAACTTTTATTGCTTGATGTATTTTAGGTACGGATAGATACATTAGGCTTGCTTTGTGAAAGTAATCGAAGCACAGAAATTGTTTCTCCAGAAGAAATGCAGTGGATTCAGTTCTTCATCACATATAATCTTAACAGCCAGTCTCCAGGAGTGCGCCAGCAGATTTGTTCTCTTCTTAAAAAGGTAGACTTTCCTATCAGGAAGTATAGGGAAGTGGTGAACTTTGCTCTGGAAATCGTTCTTATAAAGACCCAGATTTTGGGAGAGGGGGAATAGTCATAGATTAGTCTTCTGCATATCTTCTGCATACCTGTTCTGTGAGTCCATAAAGTTTACATTTTGGGGTTAAAATTTTGAGTAAAAAGTCCTTTTGTTTTAAAGTAGTAAATCAACCTTGAGTTTTTATTTTTTATTTATTTTTTTGCAAGGAAAAATTGAGTGTTACGAGTTTTTCATATGTATTTGGTAACAGGAGGAAGGATGCCTTTGCATTTTTGTATGTTCTTTAGGTGCCTCAGAAAACAGTTCTTACTGAATAATTTACTTTGAATGAATTGTACAACACCTTTTATGGGGTGAAGAATGGTAAAGTTTAGAAATGACTATATCATCTTTGAGTTCATGTCAACTTAAAGGAAATGAGAGAGCTGTGGTTTAATGACTGTTCTGGTTTGCAGTAACACTTTGTTTTTGTTTTTAAAAATATGCTTTTAAAAATGTTCTGTCAGAAAGAAACTATAAATATTACAAGTTTTAAAACCAGTATTCCCCTTGCCTGGAGTTTTATTCTAAAGAAATTGGCCTTTCAAGCGGATGTTCGAGTTTAATGTGTAACTTATATGCTTTTATTTTCCTTGTCCCAAAAGTTGTTTTATAGGATACAGGAAAGTTCTCAGGTACTTTATAAGTTGGAGCAAAGTAAATCAAAACATGAGCCAGAGAATGAGTTAACCAAGCAGCACCCTTCTGTTTCTTTACAGCAATATAAGGTAGGTGATCTGTTTTTGCACATGCAGATTTTTCAGACATCTAAAACAAGTATAAATAAGCAGGGAAGAGAAGTCAGTGGAAGTCTCTCGGTGAATTGTGTTTCTGTGCTGTTTTCCTTCAAACTGAGTGTGCTGTATCCTGCTGGTGTTTTGGTTCTCCTCCTGAGGAAGCCTGAGTCATAGACCAGTGCTCTACTTGAGAACTGTTTCAGAATGACTTTAATGGACTAACCTCAATAATTTATACCTTGTATGGGCCACATGAGATTAGTACTTTAACAAAAAGATCATTGCCAGCCCTGAGCTCCTCCACCCCTTTCCATGGTAGAAAATGGTGCCTTAGCTGAGCCTACTTTAGACCGACATGATGCGGTGGCTTGGTTTTAGTGATCCCTGGGCCATAGTCCAGCTATTGAGGGAAAGGTATGTGCATTTGCCAGAGAGACAGAGAGAGACAAAAAGAAAGCAAAACATTATCCCCCAGGGGGGATGGCCAGGTCGCAATCCCTTCTCCTCCATTCTCCTCTTGGAATTCTGGGCACGCACGCATATGTGTCCAGTGTGAGTTTTAAGTCACCAGATCCGGGACTCAAACTGTAGTCAGCTATGTAGCAGTCCAGCCATGTAACCATTATACCATCTGCTGGTCCCTTTCCTTTGCTTTTTTAAAATTGCATTTTATTGCAAGCTTTTATTTTTTATCTTTTGTGTAAATATAATAGAGTAGGAGTCTCAAAGGGACTATATAGAAGACTATGGAATAGTTGGATCTTTATATGAATTATATCATTTCAGCCAAACTAGTAAAGTAATGTGTATTAATAGATACTTCTTTGGCCATTTAAAAACTTTAAAAAGTATAGGGCCTCTAGGTGGTGCAGAGATTAAGGCAGCTGAATCCCACATGACCTGCTTGGTTCGAGTCTCAGACGCTGCAGCTTGAATAACACCCTGGGCACCTGTGTGTGCATGCCTAAAATCCTGAGAGGAGAATGGAGAAGGGATTGTGGCCTGGCCATCTCACCTGCGGGGAGGGTGATTTCTCACTTTTACTCTCTCTCTGTCTTTGGTGTGTGCACACGCCCTGTAACAAAATTGAAAAAAATAAAGTATATTTACTCTTAGTGCTTGGATGCCTCTAATGAGGAAAACCAGTATTCAGTCAAGGTTTCACTACAGATGTATTTTTTCTTATCTGGGCTACAACAAGAATTATACTTCTTGTTGACTTTGCACACTTTAAATACGTCATTAAAGCTATGATAGCTTATGGTCAAAGGTACCAATCAGAATTATCGGGCAAAGTAAAACAACCAGTGTTGTTTGCTCTCAGGGTCTAGCAAGTGGTGTGGAGGATAAGAGGCTGGATCCCATATGGCCGGCTCCACAGTTGAAGTCCCGAACTGGCAGCTTGAAAGTCATGCCAGGTGCATGTGCATATATTCCCAAAATACCAAGAGGAAACGAGAAGGGATTGCAGCATGACTATCCCCCTAGAATGATTTATCTGCCTCTCTTGCTGTGTCGGGGGAGCATATGTGCCCAGTAGCAAAAACACATGCACACAGAAAAAACAGAAACAAAAACAAAACCCTTACTCTCTTAATCAAAAACAAAAACTTCCACTCTTACAAATGATGCTGTGAAGATAAGATAATAACCTAATGTGACTTGACTCAGTTGTGAGTTTTGTTGTTGTTTTTTTAGAATTTTATGTCATCCATTTGCAACAGTCTTTTCGAGGCATTATTTCCTGGATCTTCATATTCAACTAGATTTTCAGCTTTAACTATTTTAGGCTCAATAGCTGAAGTTTTCCCTGTCACAGAAGGTAAGTTTTCAGTATTGTTCGGGGAAAGTTTTTTTCCCATTCAGAACAAAAAGCAGCATTTTACTTTACTTGAAATTTGAATTTTATTGTCTTTTTTGTAGATTCTTAATGGAGATCTTACTTTATGATTCTTATTTGTACTTGATTAAAGTTGCCAGTAAAGGACAAAAGGGAGAGAAATGGTCTACTTTTTCATTGATTGTTTTTTGCCAACCCCAAACTATAATTTTCTTGGATCATGCTTATTATAGGAAGAGTTCCTGCTTCCATCTCCCTAATTTATTTGTTGCTATTTTAAGATATTGCTCAATCTGTTCTGCAAGTTTAAAAAACTGAAATAATAGTAGTCTCTCTTAATGTTCTTTAATGAGTCTTTGTGGTTCAAATGTGGTTTCTCTTATATGCTTTCTGTTTCATAAGCCTCAGTCTGGTTTCTAAAAGACAATATGAGGATGTCATTTCCAGGCATTCTGGTTTAATGACACTCTTGTTTTTCCTTCTGTTGGGGACTCAGAGGGGGAACATTTTACTTCCCTCTTTGTTTTTTATTTTTCCCCCTTTTGACAAGAAATGATTCTTTTATCCTCAAACAAGAATGTTTTTAATGTAGATTTCTTGTTTGTGTTCAGTCTCCCTTGACTGTGGTCAAAGAGGAAACTATCCTGCTCAGTGGGTCTTTTACAAGGGATGGCCAGAGGACTGGGAGCTTTCTGCTGTAGTTTGATGATTTTCTATTTTAAATTATTATGCAAAGTATTTTTGGTGAGAGGGGTACAGTTAGTTGCTGTTAATACAGGTTGGCTTCATTTGAGAAAATCAAATTAAAAAATTGAAAAAATTCAAATAGCAAAGTTTTAAGAATTGTTCAGTTGGGCCAGCAGGTGGCATGTTGGGTGAGGTGCTGGACTTCCACATGGCCAACTGCAGTTCGAGTCCTGGACCTGATAGCTTGCTTTCTCACATTTCCTCTCTCTCTCTCTATTTCTCTGGTGATTATGGTAAAATTGAAAAATAATAGTAATTGGGGCCAGCAGGTGGCGTGGTGGTTAAGGGTGCTGAACTCCCACATGGCTGACTGCGGTTTGAGTTCCAGACCTGGCGGCTTGCTTTCTTTCTCTCTCTATTTCTCTTTCTGTCCCTATCTGGTCAAATTAAAATAAAATAAATAAATAAAGTTAAGTAAAATAATTCTTTTAAAAAATGATAGTAATAAATAAAATTAAATAACTTAAAAATGAATTGTTCAGATAATAGCTATCTACCTTTTACTTATATTCATTAGTTGTGAATATTTTGCTATATGTGCATTCTCTCTGTCTCTGTCTTGCTAATTTTATCCAAGAAATTTATTATTGTTACAGTACTATGATCTATATACAATTTATATTCAGAATTTGTCAGTTGTACCAACAAATGGCCTTTTTGTTTTTTAAAGGTTTATTTATTTATTCGTTTATTTTAATTTGACCAGAGAGAGAGACAGAGAGAGAGGGAAAGTGAGAAAGCAAGTCACCGGGTCCAGGACTCGAACTGTGGTCAGCCATGTGGGAATGTACAGCGATTGAACCAGCACACCACCTGCTGGCCCCAACAAATGGCCTTTTATAGAAAATGAAAACTCCCACCATCTGGGGGCCAACCTAGATCATAGTCTGCTTGTTGTTATGCCTCTCTTTAGCCTCCTTTAATCTGCAAAGTTCCCACTCTGTGCTGTCAGCATTTTGGAAGACTATGCCTCAGTTGGTATTTGTTTCCTAACTTGATTCCAGGTATGCATTTTTGTTAGGCATATTGCATAAGAAATGTGGTAGTCTTTCCAGTATATCATATCAGGAGGTACACAATATTAACTTGTCCCATTATTCATAATGATAAATTTGATGATCACTTTATCTAAGTGCGTGTTGTGCAAAATTGGCCTCCAGAAGTCATCCACATTATTAGAACTTGTGAATGAGAAAAAGGGTCTTACTTGAAAGATCTTACATGAGTCTTGGCAGATTTGATTAAGATAAGAATCTTCTAAAAATTTTGCCAGAGGGCAAGTTCCCTGGGGGTGGGGGTGGGGGTTTGGGTGGCTTGAGAAAGCACCCTCCCATGGGGGATGGTCACACCACAATACCCTCTCCATTTCTCTCTCCTCTGGGATTATTATTATTATTATTTTGAGAGAGATTTTTTGCTATAGGGTGTGTGCACTCGCTGGGCAGACTAAAGAGACAGAAAGTGAGAAATCACCCCCCAGGGAGTATAGCCATGCTGCAATCTCTTCTCCATTCTCTTGGGATCTTGGGTATGTACATGCGCCCGGCTTCAGTTTCGAGCCACTGGATGCGGGACTCAGACTGCGGTCGACTACTTGGGAGTCAGTGATGTAACTATTAACCATCTGCTGGTCCCTCCTTTTGGGATTTTGAGCACACCTGCACATGCGCCAGGTGTCTTTCAAGCTGCCAGGTCCTGGATTTGAACTGCACAGTCAGCTATGTGAGATCCAGCTGCCTTAACCACCATACCACCATGTAGGAGACTAGCGCTCAACCACTGTGCTACCTGCTGGCCCCGAGGGACCAGAGTGTTTTAAATTTTAGATATTTTCAGATTTTGGAATATTTGCATATATATATAATGAAATATCCTGGGATGGGACCCAGATCTAAACACAAAACTCATGTATTTCATATATACCTCATACACATAGCTTGAAGGGTATTTTTTTTTTTTTTTGAGAGATTTTTTGCTATAGAGTTCATGTGCTTGCCAGAGTGATAGAGACAGACAGACAGTGAGAAATCACCCCCCCGGGGCAATGGCTATACCGGAATCCCTTCTCCATTCTCCTCTCGGTATCTTGGGCATGCATGCACAAGTGCACATGAGTTTTAAGTCGCTGGTTCCAGGACTCGAACCGTGGTCAGCTTCATGGGAGTCCAGTGACATATCCATTATGCCATATGCTGGTCCCTCAAAGGTAATTTTATATAGTATTTTTGTATTGGAGCATTTTAAATTTTTTAAATTTGCTAGAGAATGCATCAATTTATAGCAAAGAACCAGAGAGGTGGAGGGGAAGGTGAGAGTGCACCCTCTATGGGAGATGGTCATGCTTCAATTCCATCTCCTCCATTTGTCCTTTCAGGATCTTGGACAGGCATACACATGCACCTGGCATGTGTTTTTCTTTTTTTTTTTTTCTGGAGAGGTTTTTGCTATAGGGCGCATGCGCTCACCAGACAGACAGAGACAGAGAGATAGAAAGCAAGAAATCACCCCCAGGGGGGATAGCCACACTGCAATCCCTTCTCCTCCATTCTCTTCTTGGGATCTTGGGCACGCACGCACATGCGCCCAGCGTGAATTTAAGCCACCGGGTCCGGGACTCGAACTGTGGTCGACTACATGGGAGTCCAGCGACATAGCCATTACGCTAACTGCTGGTCCCCTGGCATGTGTTTTAAGCTACTGGATCTGGAATTCGAACACTGCAGTTGGCTATGTGGGCCAGTCACCCTTAATTACCAGAGCACTGGCTGGCCTTTTTTTTTTTTTTTTTTTTTTCTTCATATTTGCCAGAGGGCATGTGAGCTCTCCAGAGAAAGAGAAAGCACCCCACAATGCATACTGGTTTATGGTCACACTGCAGTTCTTTCTTCTTCATTTCTCCATTTTATAGGGAATTTGGGCGTGCACACACATGTGCCCAGTGTGCTTCTCAAGCTGTTGGGTCCAGGAATCGAACTACACAGTCAGTCATGTGAGTTCTGGCTCCCTTAGCAACTAGGCCATGGGGCTAGCCTCTGGGATTTTTTTTTTTTTTTTTTTTTTTTTTTTTTTGCTGTAGGGCTCGTGCACTCGCCAGAAAGACCGAGAGAGACAGAAAGCGAGAAATCACCCCCTGGGGGTGGGGGATGGCCATGCTGCAGTCCATTCTCCTCTCGGGATCTTGGGCACGTATGCACAAATGCTTGGTGTGAGTTTAAGCCATGGGCTTTGGGACTCGAATTGCGATCAACTAAATGGGAGTCCAGCGATGTAGCCATTACACCATGTGCTGATCTGGAACGTTTTATAAAGCTTAATTTTCCTCCTTCCTCCCTCTCTTTCTCTCTTGTGAGAGAAGGTAGGAGAGTTAGAGAGACAGATACCTTTGACATAATGCCATAATGCCCTCTCTACCCACTCTAGCTTTTGAGCCAGCCAGGATTACAGCATCATACACAGACATGCCTGATACATTCAAGGCAACCTTAGATCTAAATTTAGGACCCTCCATTTGGCTCCAGTGTTGCACAGTGGCATCCTGTGGCTGGGATCTGAATTGTCTAACGAGTAAGTCACATATAATTGGGCAGTGACTGATGTCATGATAATTATGTTAATTAAACAGCTGGGAGGTCATATAAATGGTGTAAGCCATGATCCATTCATTCCTTCTAAGTGAGGTCAAAGAGCCATGACCATGAAGTACAGGATGAAAAAGTAAATTCGGCCTTCATCTTCTTCTGAAGCACTTAATTGTGGGGAGTTTATATTATTTCTTAGAGGGGCTATGATTTGAAATTAGTTAAGTGGTTTCTGCTTAGACTGAGAATAAGCCACATGCATCTTTCTTTTGTGGAATTAAATGTCACAACATTTATAGTGAAAAATTGGATTCCATGCTTAAAAGGATTTGTTCAGCAAATATTAATTTAATGCTTCTTTTATGTCCAACGGCCAAGGATATGCAGTGTACAAAATAAAGAGCTTCCTTTTTTTGGAGCTTAGATTTTAGTGAATGGAGACAGACAGTAGTTAACAAGTAAACACAATTTCCAGTGGAAATAAGTTCTGTGAAAAAATATTTCAAGATGATGGGTGAAAAAAAGTACTTGGGAGGATGGGGAGTGCTTGCTGTTACATAGAGTAGCATTAGAGAAGCCTTGAAATTTGAACAAAACTCTTAGGCATCTAGTGGATCAATGAAGAAAGCACGGAAGAATTTAGAAAACACTTTTGAG